TCTTATAAATACAGCTGGATGCTCAGTGTTTACCTTGGCGTAGAAGGAGCGCTCTAATGCCAATTTGAAACTCAAATGACCACACAACATAATCTCAGCGCATTTTCAGAAAAACGACAATCTTTTGTAGAAAAATGGCTTACTGTTTATGAAGCTCCCATTGGAGTAACCGTCCTTTTTGTGGGAAATGATTAAAAACAAAATAATAAAGTGTATCATATCTAGCAATACCTAGGCAGGTGCTGACATTGCATGGCTTTTACAAAGCCCGCCATACACTGGTAGATTTTCATATGAATGTTCATAAGAAAACTCTTGTGAGAACGTTCGATAATGCCATCAGAGATTTGACGGATGGCGTTCCAGGAAAACCATATTCATGTGTCCATCTAGCGTCTGTTCCCATCTCCGCGCTGCAGTGAATTTTGAAAAATATTACGTCAGATTTTTCCTGCATTTCAGTGCGTTGGCACATAGAAGTCAATGGCGAGGCATTAGTCAGGTGCCTAGTATATCATGTGCTTTGATGGGTATTAACAAGCTTGTTAATTGGCTGTTAATGCTATCCATGTCAAATTGTAACTTCAAAAACGCGGGTATTAACAAGCTCGTTAATTGGCTGTTATTGCTATCCATGTCAAATTGTAACTTCAAAAACGCATTGGAAACCCAAGTGAGACTGTGTCAATAATGTAGAAAGGAAACACACTTGGCAACGTACAGTACCTGCCTAGTGCTACAAAAAAAACATACTTCTACGCACACACATAGATCTAAAGCTGGCCTTACACTATGCAAATTTTGGGCGGTTCTTGATGAACCGGCCAAAATTTCCACAGTGGGTGCTGCTGTCCGCACCCTTCCTGCCGGTAACCCTCAACCAGAAAATTGAAGGCGACGGTTATAAAATCTTCGAACCAGAATTTTCATAGGAGCCATCTCCATTGACAACAATTAGATAAAACCTCAAAAGTAAGGCACCAGCTGTTATTTTCAAGCATTGGCTACCTGGCTCCTGATGTAAATCCCTGGTGCCTGTGTAGTCATGGCTGTGTCCACCAAAGTCTGATCCAGATCGGCCCCTGCTCCAGCCTCATATCTTGTGGCTTTGTACGGTACTACAGTGTTGTATACTGTAATCACTGGAAGAGAAGAGACTATGTAAATGCTTCTTCCTGCTCGGCCTTTTGGCTAAGATCAAGTGTAGTATCTGTTCTTATCAGTTTCCGGTGGGGCAAAGAACCGTCCTGTTAGAGGGATGGTTACTTAGTACTCGCGGGAGTAAAGTAGGGTGCTTGAGGCGGCTCCTTTGGAGAGGGAGGAGCTTCCTCGGCACTAAAGCCTCCTGATGGGGACCGGTGCTTGCTTTGGTCTGGTTAGGGGGTTCAGGAAACGCAGAGGCCCTTGGTTCTGTGCCCCCTGGCGGTGGTGTCCCAGATTGTGCCAGAACATCACTTGGGTGTGGGATCGCGCCATGATTCATTGTCACTAGGTCATGGCACTTCTCGCTTTTTCTGCACTACGCCTTTAGGGCAGGACCTTATGACTAGTCCAGGGCAATTTTTTATTCCGGCCGAAAGACCTGCCAGGTTATGCACTGGCAATTTATTTATTTATAGCACTTGTTTATGCACGATTGCACTTTTTTACTCCACAGAGATGGAGGGTGTGGGTACCTTCAGGGCCCGTCCTGATGTTGGGGGGGAGGTTCTGTGGCCTCCACATGGGCTTCTCTGCCTTCTCCCATTTGGGGGTCTCCCTTCGGGGGAGCCCCTTACCTAGAACTCATGGGACCAGCTTCTGGATGGTCCCTGAGGAAAGGGGTCCGCCAGCCTTCGGGTAGGTGGACCTGAGTAGTCCTTGCCCCTGTCAGGAGCCTTGCGTCCCGAGGGGTTCAGGAAGTTGAAGCCCTTCCTCTTCGGAGGAGGGCCAAAGCACCCTCGTGCACTTTTTTTGTGTGCTGTGATTTCACGGTTCACTTTTTTTTGTTCACAGGGGTGATCGAGTCTTCAATGCACACATTAAAAAAAAAGATGCTTCTTCCTGCTGGTAGCAGGTGTCTAGTCACTTGACCAGAGCTCAAGCATTTCTCTTTGATGTTCAAAAGTACAGTTTTCTGAAAAAACATTCTGTTCCTGTATATTTTGACATGTCAGGAATTTATTCATAACGACTTGTAGAGTTTTTTGAGGGTCCATTTTAACAAGAGAAAAAAATTAAATGAAGAAAAAGTTAGCAAACTCTGTACATTTCGAGGCATGGTGCTGCCCCTGTAATCCTGGTGCCCTAGGCACTTGACTGCAAGTTCTATCATGGTAAGCACAGCCCTGCTCATGCTGCGGAATTCATATTACGTGGCTCTGCAATGAAAATTTCAAACCACTGATTACTCCTCTGTGGGTAAGGGACAGGTGCACTTTGAGTTAAGGTTTCCAGACTACACTGAGCAGCGTATGACAGTCTGGATGGAAAACAGGCTCAGCGTGAAATTTAGACCTGTTAAACTTCAGGAAATGGGGAAAATCTGGCAGACCTCCATAGTTTCACTCAGCTGGTTTTCTGCTGTTCTTCTAAACCTAAAGTGCTTAGCTGATCCGTGGAATAGAAGAAGTTGTGTCAAGCAGGGTATTAGTGTTCTCACTTGTCTGGCACCATAGATTGCTAAAATGAACAGACGAACAAAACGAATAAATCCGAGGACCACCGAGGTGTCCCTCTACGTCTTGTTTGGATAACAGCGACACTTTGTTTTTATCCATCGGAGATGAAATCCCTTGTCTTTTCCTATTAGTCTAAGTCTTGTTTTGGCAGAAGGATTGTTGGCCAGCATGTGGTCCTACTCGGTGACCTGATCTGGTTTTAATTGGAACCCAGCGGTGTAACCTACTTCTAGAACCCTTTGACTGCTGCACTTTTGTATCAGCACATGCTACAACACGTATATTGTGTGCACACCAGATCATGTATGTAGTCTCCAGCTGTAAGGAATTAGAAATGCCAGCATGTCATCCTGAATGTATATTTCAGACGCCAATTCTCCAAGTTTAATCTCTAGCAGATACTTTTTCAGACGAACACCAACCCGAAAATAATATTTTATTATGAGGCACTTGATGGCAAGCTGAAAATGTGATATCTCTTAGGACTCTAGTGATGTATTACCAGTTGTGATCAACTGCAGTGGCCATTACAAAGTCAAATGATGGTGTCATGTTCCCACAATAATCCCCATTAGGTACAATAAACAAATAATTGGTGAGACCAGCTGCTAGCGAGTGACAGCTTAGTTATGGCCTTGCGGGAGGGGGCGGAGATAAGCTACTAAAAGGCAATCTCGCCACTGGAGACTAGCTGAGAAATGCAAAGCCAGAGTATGACTAACTGAGATAGCAGTTTTCGGTATTGTTGGCTTTTAACAAAAATCTCTAGTGCACATTAGAGGAGTATCTTATTTCGAAATGAGGAGCTGTTGAAATGATTAAATAAAACAAATTACAAGAAGGGAGACTGGAGGCAAAGCTCCTTGGTAGATGTTTGCTAGTAAGCCTTATCCTTCTAAGGTGGCACCAGGACTAATGAGTAATCAACCCCAGGTGCATGTTTTGCTTATCTGGGTATCCATAAATGTGGGAGTAAGGTTCATAGCTATAATGTACAGCTTTCATAGCCGTATTTTGCCTTGTCTCGCCTTCCTCCCATAAATACTATATATATGTACAATATATTCTTATCATCTCTACTGATAAAGCAGATGGGAATAGAGATAACCCATATCCCATCATGATAACGCCATAAACAGTAATTCGGAGAACATGCAGTGAATAATGGTTTGCTGGGTGAATAGGAGTTTGTCCAATGGGGTCTTTGTTTTTTTTAATCAGATTTCCCATGGTGTAGCCAAAATAACAGTTGAGATTCCAGAATTAATAACAGACTGACAAGACAATAGGGTAAAAATAGACATATCTGAGTGGGCAAATGCTTTCAACAATATCATTATTGTGGAGATATTAGCAGCTGAAGTCTATAATAAAAAGAGGCTGCTTTATCCTCCTGGATTATAATAGGGACTCCTGGATTATAACCTATTCTGACCTCACTTATTTCAAATACTTCTTTGACCATCATTAAGCAGTGAGCAGTGGTTCCTCTGTATGTATGTCTTAAATCTGATGGCATATTGTGTGTCAGAATGGTAATGTTATCCTTCACCTATGTCTTATGTACTACCATTACTGTGTAAGAGCTACATTATGCCTTTTCTTATTCATGTACAAAAGTTTAATCAGTGCTAAAACTCAATGAAATATTTTGATTAAAAAGAAAGAGAATCAATTATTTTCTTCATTTATTAAATATGAAACATTGCAAATTCTTAATTTGTGCCAATTTAGGCTCCTCTTTAAATGTTCTTCTTTGTGTGTTTGTTTTTTAATTAAAAAAACAGAGCTCAGTAGCTCAAGATGAAATTTACAAACTTAATGAGTCAGGGCAATGATGCCTCCCCATCACATCCACCACACCATCTCCCTCTGTACAGTTCTGT